CTTTTGAAGTGTGTAAAGCTCCATTTTATCCCATACATAGTCAAAATATTGGGGGGGATGATTCAATGGACCATCCCCCCTTGTCAAATATTGGGGGGGATATATCCCCTCCATCCCCCCCGGGATCTACGCCTATGCTAATAGGGCACGTCGCATGGATGGCGGTCGGTTAAGGATGTGTTCTAAAGAACTTAAGGTTTTGAGTTCGAATTGTGTCTTGGTATTTTTTTTTTTCCAATTTTAAGAAATTTTATTTTTTTTTTAATTTTTAAAGATAATTTAATTTTGTACAAATTAACATTGTAAATAATATTTTTTTTTACAAATAAACATCCTAATGATGTAAACATTTCTTATTAGCTCTTCCAGAAAACTCAATATAATAACTTGCGCCTGTACGAGGGACGCGCGGACCACCGGTGAGCGGTCGCTCATGTTTTTGACATTTATAAACTGCTCGTTCCAGAAAACTATAAACCTGTATTACTTAAAACTTACATGATAAGAATGTTCATCTTTATCTCTAGCCTGTGATCATAATTTTAAAAATACGGATAATGTAGTCATATTGCCTGATACTCAAGAGAGCGCTGAATCCATGTGAGCATCAGATGGCTATATGCTTGTAATGTATAAGCGCCAGGGAGGAGTTTTCAATGGACTTAGTTTTTAATGTTTAGATATGATTTAGAAGAAACATAATGCTTTCGAATGGAGTTTTCCCCACCTTTTCGACCTGCTACTTTCACCGCTAGATGGATTTATATTAAAGATAGCTAGAAGATTTCGACCGATTTTACCGTTTTTACGCTGAAAAAAACACGAGTGTGTCTGATAAAAAAAAAACAAAAGTCCGATAAATTTGTTATGAATTCAATTATAATTTTATAATCGATGTAAAGAGTATTAAATTCCGATTCGTTTTATCTTTTCTCCAAAAAAAAACACGATCCAGAAAAAGCGAAGTTATTACCAGAAGTTAAAAAATTGCTATATTTAGGAGTTTTGACGACGTTTATTGTCACGTATTCAAATTTTAGCACAAAATGTTATCGTAATGAATTAATCACTAACTAATTACACCCCTTGCTTTTCATTTCTTAGACACACCCCGACCACATGAGAGGAGCCACCCGACAGAAGCAAAATGTGATGATGCATAAACAACTAGCTCACTTCGAAAAATGTGTCAAAGATTTAAAAGGCACTTACTTTAGCCCAACGCATAATAACATGCTTCGAGATCTGGTTCCCAGCAACGTCATTGTGACGTCACTCGCTGTCCTACGAGAGCTTGTAAAACGAGACATCAGTCGCCAACATAAAAAAGGAATTGACATCAACGACAACGAACTAGTGAAGCATTTTGATGACTTCTTTCAGATGATTGCCTACTTACGTCGCTTGAAGAGAGATTTCACCGATAAGATTTATTCCGTCCTCTTTGAGTTCTTTTACCCAATTGCCTTGAATGACGTACCAGATATGATTGGTAAGGGCGGCAAACGCATGTCAAAAGTAAAAAGTGACAACCTCTCAATCATTAAAAACAACTCCGAACCAACTGATGACGAGGAGGAGATCGAATATGAAATGACTGAGGAACTGATCATTCAGTGCAATGAAATGCGTGACATCATCGAAAGTCTACACCATGTGAATTATAGATGGGAGAAACTGATGGCAAGTGATGAAATAGACGCCAATTTTTTTGATGCGGAAACCTTGCAGGAATTACGCCTGTACGACAGCAGCAAAAACTTTGAATATATGCTTCGGCTTGTACCTGACATCATCAACAAAAGCCTTCGAGCAGTTGAGCTTGCCAGAAAATGGTGGTTCAATTCGGATAAATTTTGCAAGAAGTTAGAGCAGTTTAAAAAGGAAATGGCACAAATGCCACGACGTCGTAGACCTTTGGTGGTGATTCCGGAGTCAGAGTTGAACAACTGTGAGCATAGTAATGATGAGGATGTTGAGGATGAATCTCCACAAATTGAGATCCAAGATGTCGACCGAATTGAGAGACGTCGTTCTGAAAGGCATAAAGAGGCGGAAGCCACAAACTACCGGAATGGAAGAAAAAAGGCGGAGGCAGCGTCAAAGCATTGGCTTCAGAAGGCGGTATCCCACCGGGATGAAAGAAGCCAAGAAGTAGTAGCAAGGAATAGGCCTATTGAGTATGGTGAGGATGAAAGCCACCAGGAGACTGCAGCCATTAAGTATCAAAATAAAAGACACCAGAAAGTTGTACCAAATATTGAGAGTAACGATGACATTGACGACGAATTGGAGTTCAGTTACAAAGAGGATGAAGAGGAGAGCCAAATTAGCAGTTCAGACAAAGAATCGAAGCATTTCACTGTTTCAAAATCAGAAAACGACAATAATATTGACGAATCCATCATTCAATTAGAAAATAGCCTCAAACAAGTGATTGCTAGAATAGGGACACTCGAGGAAGAGCTTCTTAAACAGAACACGGAGTTACACGGATTACAAAAACGTCAGAGTCGCATTGATGACCTATCTTCCGATGTAGAAAACGCAAAAGACATTAAAGATAACGTGTATTTTAAATTGAAAGACCTTAAAAACACAAAGGATGAGCTACTGAAAAAGATTTCTCGATCGAAGAATGGTTCACTGCTGCACACGGAACTAAAGAAGACGCTAGCATCAACAGAGGAAGACATAATGGAACTGAAGAACGCTGCCAAGCTCCATGAGTTTCATCATGAGTTGCTCACCAGTGACCTAGACGTTGAAATGGAAATGAGACCAACGTTGACAGGGTAAATATGAAATTGCTGTAATTTTTTTTATTTAATAATGGTTGAAGCAGTGCTAAAAAGGTATAGGTCCGTCACAATAGAGATCTTTTTACGCCGTTAGCATGATGTATCTGGATAGCCCGAAGTTGCAGCGCCTCTGCTTTAACCGCTCGGGCATTTGACTCGCCTATACATACTCTTGCCAAATTCAAGTGGTATTCAGGCTTTGGTAGTTACTTTAATAGTAATACTAATCTCCTCTTTTAACTTTTTAAGTTACACAGCAATATGACATAAAGTAACATATTTTTCTCACAACAGGTATTCGCAACATTTACAGTCGAAAATACTGGAGATGGAGCGTACTCTAGCAGCTGAAATGGTGAGAAAACATGTACTGGAAAAACGCCTCATAATTGCCAAAGCCAACCTGCAACACACCATCAAAGAAGATCAGCCGCCTCCAGAAATAAATGCGCAGCCAAAGTTTCCGTCTGAACAAATGTACGTCTACCAATCAGGACTCAGAAATCCACCATCAATTAAACCCCCCAGAATAACAAAGCCACGAGCTGAGTCCAACCACTCAGGTACAGAACACACAGATGTCAATTCTCCAGCCATATATATAAAACCAAAGAAAAAAACTAAAAGCAGACCACCAAGAAATAACGGTTCGTTTACTGCTCCGACACTTCCGGAACTTACTCCACATGGACATGTTATGACGAAATCAAAGGTACCTGGACGAAAATCACGCAAGCCCCTGAAACCTGATGCTAATTGGAAAAATCCTGAACTACAGTCCAGCCAGAGTAATGAGAATGTATCGGTGCAGTATAGCGATGCTACCAGTAACGCTGATGTACCCTCTAGTCCGGAAAATCACAGAAAACAGGGAAAGAGGAGGCCCAACAAGAAAGATGTCAAGCATAACGTTTTGTATACACCTCAGAATGGTGGACGCTATCGCAAGTCTTCTGGCAACCGTGGACGTCCACACGTCACAGACCGACGTACCAGTACATCGGATGACGGTGATACTAATTTCAAACAAGGGTTATCTGATTACTCCGTAGAAGTCAGTTCACGAAAAGAATATAAAAACAAAAACATTGAAAAACTCAATTCGACATACCGCGTTGAACCCCATAGACAACGTGAGACGTACTTGCCATCAAAACAGGTCGAAGTACTTGATAAAGTAAATAATTCAAATCGTAAACAACGCATCCATAACAAAAGACAGAAACAAAGACTAAGCGACGAATCAGATGAAGGAGTATACAAATCCAAAGATAAAAAAATACAACCAAGAGGAAAACACAACACAAGTCGGTATCTTAAAAACAAACAAGTTGACGACAGACAGAAGCAACAGGAGACACCTTTTTCGTTTGACGACGATGATGCATTGAGTATCCCAGAAGACCCGGACGCCGGTTCCTCTGAAAGTAACGACTCGGATTTCTCCGAAGAACTCAAGGCAAAACAGCAGAAACTCCGTGAGTTGCGCCATCGTCAAGAAGCTAGTAACAAAAGAACTTCCTACGATCGCCCTCAACGAAAGCCCGATAGACAGCCTAAGGCATATGACTCGAAGCGCGACAAAAACAGGCGTGAATATCAACATTATGACACCACTCCCCCACCACCGCCTGGCTACCATGAAAAAAGAACTAGAATACCAGTCAAGCATTATTGAAACTCAGGGCCGTTAATTAAAAAGAACAAATTTTAAACAATTAAAAAATGTGTTAATGTTTATAAGTAGGCCCTAATCCTAATATGGCCTTTGACACGACGTCGGACCAGGGAGTTGTTACAGTGACGTACCAAATCACTGGTCGGACCAAAACTATTAATTTGCCTAGTATATAAAACGTTATTTTGATTGCAAATCTCTAATTGTGGTCAAAAAACAATTTTTGCGCCATACTAAGCCATAAAAACTCACATGAACCCTACCAGAATTTTGTTTTACGGGCCCCTGATCGAGGCTGTAGTCGGCCTCTTTGTTCAGACCCGGCTGTCGGACATGTTGGGCGCCTCGTCGGCTATATATACTGACAGTTATTATTTATTCAAATTATCTATCATGTTGATGTTGAGTATGTTGCCGTGTGCAATATTATGCGCCATAAAATATCGCATGTACGCAAGCATCTTACTTCTTAATCAGGTAACAATGTTTTGCAATCATTATGTATGCAATTGGCAATCGATCTAATATGGTAATTAAAATCCGGATGCAATGCCACCAGGTATAATTATAAAAACTTATCAATCATCTTACACAGCCTATGTATTGAATGATGAGTTTGCAGTATCATAGCCTATTTCTCCTAAGTATCATCCCTCTCCATGGTAACTGTGTGTGAATCTAATTATAAAATGTAGAAACCAAAATGGGATCATTTTTTTTACAATTCAGTTGTAGATTAATATATGCCTATCGAAAGAACTATTAACTTTTTTAATGATTATGTCCTGATAACTTAAACAAGTGTTTATTATTATTATTATTATTATTATTATTATTATTATTATTATTATTATTATTATTATTATTATTATTATTATTATTATCATTATTATCATTATCATTATTATCATCATCATTATATTATTTAATATACGTAAATCCCAAATAACACGTCAATCATACTTTAATCAAGGATGCATTGAAGAGCATCTAAAAGTAATGACAACATAATTGTATTTGTAGAGAATAACACTAAATTCCTCGATGATAATACTTTATGAAAATGTTGTTCAGGCCGAAAACGTCACTATACAATACATAGTTATGAGCAACATACAGATTTTAGTTTTAAAATCACTGTTAGGTATTTTCACACAAATAACTTCCCTTCAACTTTCATCATTACTCTGGGTCAGTTTGCCTACAGTTCTTATATCTATAAACATCCATTTCTTTACAATGATTATCGCCTGTTGTCCCAGTAGAAGCGTGGAGCGGGGGGGGGGGGGGCCAGGGCCATTCTTCCTCCTCACTTTTTCTACTGGGGGCCCTTGGCACCCCCACTTTTTTAACTAAGTAGCCCTGACGATGTCACCATTCTATGTTGACAATTCCTGTAGATATTGAACAAATTAAACTTGCACCTTGTCTTGTATTGGTTTGTACAGCACCGGTGTCTGTTCACCTACTCTGCATCTCACTAAGCCCAGTTTAGCTAATTAAAGAGGACACCACACCAAAACTCCTATTGCTTTAACTTTTTACTAATCCGTGTACCTTCACTTCTGCCTCCAGTTCCACTGGTTATCTTCTTTCATTGGTCAACCATGTTTGTCCTGTTCACTTAAAAGCATCCAGTTTAAGTAGGACACTGAATATCAAATGAACGTCTGATTGACAAACTTCATAGCCTTAGTGACTTCTATTGCTGTTCTAATATTGGTTGTCATAGATTTATGGTTTTACATTCAATACCTGGGATCATCATTTTCTCCGTCAAATTTCCTGTGTTTATTAATGTAAGGATTTTTACCTGTTTAATGTTATAAATTAAACTTTGAACCCATATGGTCTACATCGCTTTATGTTCCATATGCACTAAATTGGTCTGAAATAATATTAGTTTAAAAAAAAGATAAATATAAAATATAAATGTATTTATCTTAAATATTAATTTGGTTGATTGAGCTTTTGAATATAGGCCTACGTCTTGAAATCTTGAAATATTAGAAATTACTCATACAATGAAGTTAAAATAGATTTTATATAATGATATAATATATAAATATCTTATAAGTATAAATGTATGATAAATATAATATAATATAATATATTATATATATATATATATATATATATATATATTATATTATTTTATTTTTGTCTTTGGAATATGTATGTATATGATATTAACTTTGGTATGGAGAAACACCTCCTCCCGGGTGATAATTGAAGATAATAAATATTTCAGAACGTATACTCTCATATGTGGGGGTGTTTGTCTTTTGTCTTCTTTTCTTTCTTGTAGATTTGTAACCATGGATAAAAATCCGTGTGTAATTTGTCCTTGAATTACGTTTGTTTGTATAATGCAAAGAGTTGGAATTTGAAAATGTTGAAATACCATAATTGAAAATAGGCCTATATAAGCCTACATCATATTTACCTTCCCACAACTCTACATTATAATACATCACTATACCCAACAGACAACCACCACACATGCCCGAACATCAGGTATATAATAACTTTAATAAATAAAGATGAAATATAAGGTCTATTTTAAATAAACAATTTCGGAAAAAAGTAGACATAATGATAACATAAATGTGTTCTATATACAACATATAGAGTCCAATACTTAAAATAATGTCATCTGCGGACAAAATTGAATTGATATACTTAACTAAAATAAGCTCATTCTTCCTCATTATTTGTAGAAACAAAAAACTGGTCTCACAAATTTCATTAAAATGTTAATGCGGTAGCACTCTATGGTATACCTCTCTATGTTATAGGCCTACTAACGCTGATACGGTTATAGTCGGTAGTTTGCTACTGATGTCACATGCCACTCATTGTGATGCCTATCGCAGCGTCATATTAATATTATTAAATGTACATATATTTGCGCAGTGCAGTCACTCACGACGGTGTCACTTGTGGTGAGGTGATAATATAACCCAAGCACTTGATGCCACTTTGTGATATCAATGACAGTATCACTCTCCTGCCAAATGTTAGTGGCATAGGCCTAGTTGTGTTTCAACACCGTGATGCCACTTTGTGACTGAATGAACCCACGTGATAGTGATACCACCGATTGGTCGCCATCAATGTACAGCACACACAAGATGAGTGGTGCACACTTCCACGCCAAGCATCTCTATGGCACCTACTCTGTGCCACAAGGCATTCAAATAAAGGATTCCGCGGCTCGTATACATTTTGGATCAGCCTGCTACATAAATAGGATAGTACTAGGCCTAACAACAGAGTCTAGTTTGGCACACTGCATTTATAAATACTGTACAATTTACTGTACTAGTTGATGGAATGAATTTCGCCAATGTCTATATTCATCGAAATGATAATAACCTTATTTTAAATACATTTAAAAGTATTTATTTTTTTTAAAACTCATGAGATGTACATTTGATAATGTAAATTTATCTTCAATGGCAATGAAACAAAACAAAATATTCTAGTGAAATTTTGGGTGGAATCATTCATCCAGACAACTAGGTTGCGGACCTTTGTGTCTCCTGAACTTATTTGGGCAGTGGTTCTGTATTAGCTGCATTAATATATACACATTAACATATTATACATTCACACACCCGAAATGTTGTTTATATATATCATTAATATTAATATCTTTATATATATACTGTCTCTTATACACATCTATGTGTATAAGAGACAGGTAATGTAATGAATACTCAGATGCTTAAAACATTGACTTTAGAAACACTAAATATAAGGCGCTTATATTACACTACTATTAAGGAGAAGGCGCAACAGCATATTCAGGATCAGATCCTATATACACACACGGCTTTGTTGAGGATATCGTGATGATGATACAATATTCATACATTTAGTAATACTGCCCTCTATATAATGTGGCATTGACATGGAAAGTTTTTTGGGGGTGGGGGGAGTGGTCGACACTATTTTCCATCCAGCATTCTGGAGGATGGAATCTAGTGTCGACCAAAGCATTTGTTGTAATTCTTCCACTATATAATAAGCATAATGACATTGTAACCATATATATTTCATTTCATTTCCTTCATTTATTCGCCTCAAATAAGGTTCTGGGGCTCGACGAGACAGCAGTCATAATACAGGCAATATAACATATAGTAATATACATTGTGTACTTAATTGTCAAATCTATACAATTTATCAGACTTGGAGAACTCTTCCTTCCTTCTGGTCTCCACGTCCAAAGCTCCCTCCCGAACTACTTGTATCCGTCAAATCTGATGACGTAGACATTGCACAGGATCTGTCGCTATTGAGCGCATGCTCATCCTCCCAGGTACTTTGATTCAATCCCGACGAAGACCCACTATCATTGAGGCTAGGAATACGAAGACTACGTGGAGAGAGTTTGCCTAGCCGAGATGGAGTTGTTTTTGTGAGTTTATTTTCCGCTACACAATCTGGATCAGCTTGGAAAGCAAGCGCATTCATGATTTTCTGATCTGAAACAGCACCACACTGCTTTACGTCTTTCATTAGTATGGAAGCAGGAATCAGATGCCATGCGATTGAGTCAATAAACGGTGCCATTGCTTCTTTCAATTTTGTTCCTGGTCTGCGTTTACACATTTGCCTGCTCCAGCCAACAGCCGCATAGAATTTCGTCACCTCTTCTGCTTGCAATTCTTCACGAGTTAATACTAGTCTGACTACGTGTTCTGGTAATGTTGTAAACGCCGGCAAACTCAAAACTTCTTCACCATTTTCATCGATAAATTCTAAAGCCTGTAAAAATAATATTTTTGTAGTTATGAATGTTTAGTAGCAAGCAACATTCGATTGAACAAAACATTATATGGAACTGGTCGGCAGTGGCAGCTCTAGGACTGTCTCTTATACACATCTAGATGTGTATAAGAGACAGCACTAAATATAAGGCGCTTATATTACACTGGGACTTGGGCTTGTAGACCCGAGCTGAGGGAAGGGTTTGAGAGGGTGTTCCCCCTCCCAAATGAGATTTTTTTAAAGAATAGGAACCTCTGGATGGCCAGAAATGACACTCTCTGATTGTGACAGACATATATTGGCTTGGCGTGGGCCTATTTTTATGTATTTTTTAGTCCAACTGCCCGACGAGCTCCTCCCCCCCCCCCGCTGGCGCCGCAACTACTGGTTGGAGTTAAGAATGATAGATTTTTGTACTTCGGTAATCATTCCCGGCCGCTGATATTTCTAAACCCAATTTTGATTGATCAGAAATCATCCAATCATTCACTTCTCTTTTACGTATTACCTGTTTCCATAAAATCACTACACGCTATCGATAAAATCTTCGACGCTGATAGGTTGGTTAAATTGAGAGCCTTAATTCCCGATTTGCGCCGAGACAACTAGGCAGTGTATCGAAAAAGACTAGCGATAGTGTAGCGATTTTAAGGAAACCGGGCCTTATTCTATGCAGCAAGCGGTGTACATCAAAAGGAGCCAACATAGCTGGGGAGATCAGACTTTCAGCACTGCCCAAGGCTCTTGAATAAACGTTCAACATTACGCATTCACCTTTATTTGGCAGTCACTACTTAAAGCGCATCTTTTGTTTTTTATTGTTTCTGTTATTAACGTGGAGTGGCCTTATATAAATGGAACGAATGATTGATTGAATGAAATGTGTATTATTTTTTTAAAATATAATATTATATTGTAATCTTAGTCTTAATGCCTAAGGTTCAAATTCCACGACATACCCTTTGGACGAGCGATTTTGTCGACTTGTATTGGATATATTTTTCAGCTGAACATAAGATCATGCAAACAGTGTCTACATTGATGCAACAGTGCATAAACCCGATACATGCCCGACGAAGTTCATCCAGGCCGTAGTGATCAGCTGCATTCATTAACCCTGTAAAATAAGAATTGATAATGTTACACATGATGACGCTTTGAAATTGAAACAATTTTTACAAAAGCAACTGCTTGAAAATACTGCTTGTAACATTAACAACATCGTTAATCACATTTACCTTAATTTACCTTATGCTCTGTACAAATTTTATGTGGTGTGCCCATATATGTGCATGATGATGTCATATTACACCCAAATATGGACATTTCACATTTTTTGTCACATAAAATTTTATAGTGGGCAGAGCTTTATAAGTCTACGGTGAAATAATAAGGCTTGGTTTACATTTAACGCGTTGATGCAAACACGCAAGAAACTCACTAGAAGTATAGTAACGTTGCTTGGTTTAACGCGTCTAAATTGCTTCAGTGTGAACCAAACGTAATGATGTCACGTTGTAACATAGGGCTAACCAATCACATCTTGCAATGGCGTAGGATGTTTAAATTTCTACTGGTTTGTTGTTACTCAAACGCATTTTACTGCCATTGTAACATACGAAGAAAAAACAACGTACCTATGACCGTTTCTGCCTGTAAAGTAACACATCCCGTGTGAACGTACTCAATTAATTGGTGAAACACGTCGGGATCGAACTCCTTTATTACTACTGTTCGTGGGTTATTAATTTCTGGGAAGTCCTCTCCGCTGTTGCTTTTTCGCAATTTTCTTATCACAGTTCTCTTCTTCGGACTATCTGAACGACAATGTGTGTATAGCATTTTGTGGAACACTCTGTAGAAGATAAAGACGTAAAAACATGAAATTATATTAATGTGATTTCAATAGTACCAGGGGACCATAATAAAAATCTACGAAAATGCAATAATCGTCATAACAGCACCCATGCCCACTGTAGAGGCTAACATACGTTAAATTCTTATACCTGTTCTCATTATAATTATAGGCGTATTTATATATTATATATTAGTATTATTATATTATTTATTAATATTGTCATTATTATTATTATTATTGTCAATACCACGTTTCATCATTTTTGTCATCCTTATTATCTTTAATACGGTACCGTACATTATATCTTTTTATCATATATTAGGACTATCGTTTTGGTGGTCATCGTCATTTTCGCCACTGCAACTGCTGCTGTTATTGAATGTTGCTATTGTTGTTGTTACTGTTAATAACATAATTATCATCGTCGTCATTGTTTGCGGTTGCATACCTGCTTCTTGCAGCTAATATCGCCCTGATGCCGCAGATCGTTTCTTTTTCGTCACCAACGATGAAGATGACGTCACAGAGTTCGGGCATTTCTTGGAAATACGACAGGTCATCAGATACTCCGGATTTGTTTTCAAATCTTGAACTTCTTACTCCCCGGCTTGGGTACACGCAATTCGACATAATATTAGATTTTTTAAAACTGCCATCCATGTCTGAAAATAGAAATTTATATATATTCTTAGAATCGTTCCGATAAATGTTAAATAGTTAATCACTTGAGTGACTTGCTTATTGAAAGATTCGAGCGATGTGATGTTAACTAAATTAATGTCGTAACTAATTGTTAACCAAGTAATGTTTTCTAAAAGACAGTCATCTTATTTTAGTTTCCAGTTGACGTCAAGTTTGCTGCTAAATTATGAAGAAATCCGCATCTCAGTCGTGAACAGCACTGGTCACCCATGATTAGGTCGTCGTTCTCAATTCTTTACCCTTTTTGATCAGTCTGGCTAAGAAATGTGAATTAATTAGCGTTAGATACTAGTAATTACATCACGTGTATTTGCAGAATGTTATATTGCAGTTCTCTATATAGCTGTCATCAATGCAAACACTATAGTGAACTCCGATTAACATTTTCGGCGACAATCTGATCAAAACTGGTCAGCTTCAGGGTCGAGAGTTGAGGTGCGAGTTGCGAGACGTGCTGTCGCTGTGATAATGAATTTCAATTGATTTCATTGAAATCAATGAAAGCAAAACCTCATCATTGTGCCAGAACGTCTCCACGCGTCCAAATTTTAAAACAAAATGTTTGTAGATCGTTAGAGGTTGACAATGTAAATTAATAAGTGCGTTATAGAATAAAAAGAAGGAAGAAAACAGGAAATGTACTGTACCACTACGAGAGGTTCTTTGCCTAGTGAATCTGATTTTGTATTGCGTTTATCTAAATATGTTTACTGGTGGCTTTACTTAGCAAGGTGTGAGATAAGCATGAGCTTTTGTACAAACTGAATAAATATAAATGTAAACTGAATCAGTTCCCAGTTCTCCATTAAGAAATTATCCCACGGTTTACATATACATTATGCTTAATTGTGCTTGTATGAATTAGCTCTTCATTTAATTCTTGGTAAACATTTTTTTGAAACACGAATGCACCATGAGATAACACGCGGTTAAGTGTGTCGGGTAGTCTTGACGCACAACAAGTGGTTTTGAAGTATGGCTACTGTATGCTGTATTGGTTTCTTGAGTTTAGTCTAGGTCTACTTGTTATCCCCAACCCCAACTCCATTGTCCTCATCTACATTTCATTTCCGGATATTAATAACTCAAAAAACACTCGACTATAATTGATAACATATCGCCTGAGACGGGCCCATGGGTTTATAGAACCACTGGTGTCAAAACATCAGGAACATTCACAAAATCTGCTCTATCAGTCATGACTTCGAATTCGAATTATGACTATGGGCCTATGAAGATTAGATTATAATAATTGAATAATTATCATAGACTTTTCTTTTGTGTTTGTGCCAATATTTAAAAACAAAATATGATTTTACTCACACTCACGGGCGGCGCTAGCGTGGGGTTCGGAAAGCAAATGATCTCTGGACCCCCACCCCCCAAGGAATTTTCAGCAAGGTCGTCGGGCAAAAAGCAAATCTCGAGCGCCGAAAGTACAATTCAAGCATTACTTATTAAAAACTGTTTAGTTCGAACAGTGCTACTGTATGTGCGACAGAGGACTTGTTCTTTCAATAGGGAGATTAATACCCCCTACACTGAGGAGGACTCTAAACTTGCATAGTTTTCTATCAAATTATCCTTTTTAACTAAAGAATCCCATTAACACAATTTGTTTTTTTTTTTAAATAAAATATTCCGACAAATTTTGATTTTTCAATTGTCTTCCCTCCCCCGACCCACCGTGGGGGGGGGGGGGTTCCTGGCGCCGCCCTTGCCGCACACACATTTCGCGAACGATCCGTTCACTTTCTCAAGTAGCCGGCGATGCTACATTCACGTAGTGTAAGTAAAATCATATCGTTCATTTTTGTTTATATTGGATCAACAAAAAAGAAAGGTCTATGATAATAATTACGAATCCAAGGTTAATTGGCACATATCCGACCAATTCCATGATAGGCTAATAAAATTGTAATTACATTTAATTATTTTTGCATTACTGTATACGTTGTATAGTATAATTGATATTGGATTTGGCGTGCAAAGAGATATAATTAACAATAACATTATCGTTTCTTATATATTTCCGTTACCGTTAGTACCGTATGTGTTGCCGAACAAAGAATATGACCTTGAACGAATATTAATAATATCAAGAAATCTTCTTGTAGTCTGACTAGATGATGTATTGGTTTATAAGCCATAGTTTTTGATCATATTACTCAATAAAACGTCACCTACAAACAATGAAGTTACAATTGATGCAAGGCAGTCTTTAATGTGGGTTAATCTTGCTGGAAATCTGCAAAATGGAAACAGCGAGAATTCGTGTAGACTATCATTTCCTTTTCGCATTTTGATCCAAAATTGATTAGACCCCAAAGGTGTTATGCAGCATGTTTGGGCAGGTGGATGAAATGAAGAAATAACTAAAGGATGAGTAGCAGAAAGACATGAAATAAACCTGATTAAGTTAAGACATCTTTTCAATCGTTCATCACCATTATATTCCACACATCACTTAACATTTTCTAACGAATTTTGTCAACATGCTTAGAGCATGGAAGTATGCTTAGAGAAAGACTTTCCTCTATGGTATAAACAACTTCAGATTAAGCCATACAGAATCATACAGGCTTAATAGATTTAAAGCCCTACATGACCAAATATTAAAATCATCAAAGCAGTCGTGACGTAAAAGAAAAAAAATACTAGCTATATAAACATCATTGTAAATACTTCAAAAGGTTTAATTCATCTGCGTAGACCCAATAAAACTCAAAACCGTGACTTTTGAATATCATGCGTCATTTTAGAATAACGAAAACACTACAACATACGGTACCTCATAGTTATCATTAAGAAGAAATTAAGTAGCAGGGCCTACCATTTGTAACAGTGGTAATGATTTGGGCTTCTAATCAAAAGATCAGGGGTTCGAGTCTCTGGAAGCTATTTCTCTGTTACAGTAGTCAAGGCCCGTTGCCCTCGTTGTCTCTATCGGGATTAAGCGGGTATCCTGTTAATGAGCCCTACAGTTGCAACAGTAGACACTATTGGTGTATGATCTTATTTATCTTATAATTATTATTATTATTACCAGGGTAATAATAATAGGCCTATTAATAATAAATATTAATTCGATTATGAATATTAAAATTATTAGCATTTTTGGATTTCTCCTGATTCAACATTTTGACACGAAGGACACAAGGCCTAAGGCTTTAAGGTTAGTCTTAATTTCCTCCATGGACTAAATCTGAACATAGAGCTCCATAGTCTGAATGTTAAGGCTTAGAGAATAGTTAGGCATGTTGTATACATAACGTGGATAATCATTCAGTAGTGTATAGATTGGTTTGTTATTGAACCGAAGTCGATCTCAGCGTAACTCATATGTTTTTAATAGACAATCGATACAACGTTATACTGTAGAAATCATGTCCAATAATTTGTTCTTAAGTCAGAATTATCAACAGATCAACGATACTTTGAAGTCTTTAATGAACTACAGAACTGAATACAATGCATCTATAGAATTTGTGAATGAACAATCTAATGAACGGTGCAACATGGCCCTTACAGGAGTCAACATTGACGACATAGGCTTTGTTTTTTAATTAGTTACATGTACGAAATAATTAACAGCTATTCCGGTGGTCTATTAAGTTTTGGTTTTCTTGATATTGATTTTAGTTTAAAGCAGGTCCATAAGTAGCTGAAGTGTTATGAGCGTGTATGAGGCGCGCGCTGCTTCATAACCAATGCAATGATGGAAGAGATAAGTATGTTTCATTTGATAGTCAGGGATGGATGATTTTTGTTGGAACTTTAATTATCAGACATTACCGCTAACTTCTAGTCAATCATATATTTTATTAGGTACATTTAATAAGCGGTGATTTTAAAAATGCAAAATCAAAATAATCATAGAAATAATTTTTGAAATTTACTTGAAGTAACATACAATTATCAACTTGAACAGAGAAATTAGAGTACTGTATTTAAAAAAATGGTTTGCATAATTTTACATCAAAAAATAGTAGAAACACTTACTGGAAATGTTTTAAAATTTTTATTATCATTATCCATATAAAATCAGGGTACACATTATTTTAAATTCAATCATGTCTATGCTCAAGCTAAAAAATTAGCAAGTTAATTTCAAAATTCTTTTTATGATTTTGTCATTTTCAGGTGACAATACATTGAGTTAAGCTAATTTATTTTAACATAGGCCTAGTTGTAGTCTTCTTTTCTTTTTTTTTTTGTTTCACTACATTTCCAAGATAAACATTACAAATGCACTTCACTAAGTCAACCATAAACAATATGCACCTGTTAACCCACCTCCATGCTGTACATATAAACAATCAGAACGGAAAACAAGATATTTTCATTGAGACCAAAAAGAACAGCCAGTAAAGCAACCGAGAACAATGCTTCTTCCTGTCACTTAAACCCACCGTGAAAGACCAATTTAGAAATTATATTATAGTACAATTAGTTATTTGTTTAGCTTACAAATAACCATAAGGAGAGAAAAATATCGAATAGATGTCAAAAAACGTAAACCTAATGAGCCGGTACCGCTACGTTCCGTACTAATCTGTGGATTATAATGTGTGTGTCTATAGTTAATTTCATGGTAGACTAAATCATGTATAAATATAGGAGCCAAAGTCGGTGGATTCCGGTATACTTCAGCAATCTAATATGTGATGCCTGTCTTGGTAAATTATAGTTAAGGCAAGATAATAAAAATTGATCATAGTAGCGTGATTAGGCCCACATATCATAGCCCTGTTATTTGTCTTATTATTATTAATAATAATAATAATGAATAACGATGTTATAATAATGAATATCTAACCCGCAGTGAACTCGAACTCAGAGCAGACAAGAGAGGCTAGGCCTACTCAGTCCTAACTGACATTTCGTATAGTGACACTAAATAGGAGGCCAATTGTCTTCAAGGCATACGTTGCCTGATGTATAGGCAAGCCACTAATGGTAGTTAACGATACAGTGGAAAATCTGTATCTTCCCAACAATATGAATATATTATGTTATTACCACTTATATGAGAAAAGTGAACCCATCGAGATTCAGTATTTCTTTATTCTTTCAACTATAGTAATCTGAAAAAAGAAACCCATTTAGGCCTATATTAACTTTATGACAAAAGCTTCGATCATGTTATTTCTCGTTATTATGACGCTTCTCCGTGTTGATACTGAGAGGTGAACGAAGAAGGACGAATGAAGTTCGTAAAAGTTGAATGACGTTATACGTGGATCTGGATCACGCATTTTAGAGTTGGGGTATACCTTAATGGTCATAATATATTATCCTATTACAATGAAATCCACACAGAACGCACTCAACTTAATCAATTCTATATCCATTAATGGACATGTGTTTATTGGGACATCCTAACGGCCAATAAATTGGAAATTATGTTCAACATTATGATGAATATCCCCTGTGCAGAATAACGAGTATTCTCGGCGCCATCATAGATCAAATTGGTTTTACAGAAAATGAAGATATGTTGATGCTCTGGGTTCAAGTTAATTGGTATGAGCATGCATAATATGAGCATGCTGTCGACTGCAAGGATTGGCTCTATGCCACCTGTATTATTAAGTTCTATATTCCTTTTTTCATATTATTGTTAATGTATATCAAATATTAAGTAATTTTTTTAAATATCTGTGTATTGTTATTATCATTTTCATCGTCTGCTGGGTTAGAGAGGCCGGTCTAAACCTATTCGTTCGTTACATTGTATTTGTAACTGACACATCGATAAAAATATTAGGCTTAATGTGTAATGTGCTATTGATGAAATTAAGCCTATATAATACCAGATTGCAATAAGTTTACAATGCATATTTTCATTATATTTCTTTTGCTTCATCTTGTGTACTGCCAACATTAAGAGATCCATAAGCATATAATTAAAAAAAATGTAAACCAAAAGAAAATTAAAAAAAAAACAACTTAGAAATAGGCCTAATGAAAATTTGTTAAAAAAAATTAAAGACACAATGAAAGATTGTAGAACGTATAAAGAGAATGGCTAGAGCAAAGATAGTTACTTAAGGTTATTGAAAATTAGAGAAAGGAGGAAAACAAAATAATTAATATGTATAGTGAATGTGTAAGTGTGTTGTAAAGGTGTGTTGGTACGTATTTGTTGGCGTATGTTTGTGCATGCGGGGTACGTGTGTGAAAGTGTCGAGGTGTGTATGTATGTATGTATATGTTTTTTAAGGTAAAAATTGAATGAAAATATTACGAGGAATGTGCGATTTTTCAACAACAAAAATAATTACGGTATAAAACGCAATTTCTTTTTTCTTTTAATTTTGTTTTATATTGTAAAGAATTATAGAGCATTGTACAGTATGAGAAAAAAAAGTAAAATTGAAAACCATGAAAAAAGAGGACAAAATGTGGATGATCCCCACAAAAGACAAAAAAAAATATTTCTTTTGCTTCCGACTACAGTGACAAAGGAGAATGGTGACCAATAAACCCAAAAAGCTGTTACCGTTGTAGCATTTACCCGCCCAGTATACATTACACTGCAACATGTATATGTGCTAACAGTACCGTAAAGATAGTAATTATTTAATGAACTGAGACAGATATTATAGGTCTGC